ATTTACGTGCCCTTCAGAATCTTGCGTTCTGTGAATGAACGTCGCCTCGTGGTTCCATCCCAAAGAGGGAAGTAATCACTTTTCCGAGCTCTCGCATTCAATCTGCCCAGTTGGTGGAATGAACTCTCTAGCTGCATTAGAACGGCAGAGTCACTCGCTGTCTACGACTAAAAATTCAACTATTTAGTCTCCACTGTCCTTCCTAATCTGCAATTTCCTCTCTGGCTCCACTGTTAACTGTACGACAATAAATAAATAAATAAATAAATAAATAAATAAAAACCTGAAACTTGCCTACAGCATTTATTCATTGTTGCTCTTATAGTTGTGTAAATAACATCCTTGTCCTCATTTGTAAGCCGCTTTGGATAAAAGCGTCTGCTAAATGACTAAATGTAAATGTAAATGTTAAAAATTGTTTGCGAACTTGAGGGCTAATAATTGACTTCAACGGCATCAAATATTTCCTCAGTGATGTCTAACAGAGATTGAGTACACGTTTTATGTTAATTGTTATTTTATCTTAATATATATATATATATATATATATATATATATATATATATATATATATATATATATATATATATATATATATATATATATATATATATTTAATAAAGAGATTAAAGATATTGACCTTGGTAGCTTTTAAAAATGTAAACTCTAGTGAAGCTAAAAGTAAAAATAAAAAACAAGTGAATAATTTAATTTAAGTAAATATTTAAAAAAAACAATTCCAATTTCACATGAGGGCACATTAGTTTGTCTTTAGTTGTATTTTATGTTTTTTTCTTCTTCTTTTTTTTTTTTCAAAATGCAGTTGAAGTCAGAATTATTAGCCCCCCTTTACATCTTTTTTTTATACTTCCCAAAAGATGTATAACAGACAAGAACATTTTCACCGTATGTCTGATAATATTTTTTTCTTCTGGAGAAAGTCTTATTTGTTTTATTTTGGCTAGAATAAAAGCAGTTTTTAAATTTTTAAAAACCATTTTAAGGACAAAAATATTAGCCTCTTTCAGCTATATTTTTTCGATAGTCTACAGAACAAACCATTGTTATACAATAACTTGCCTAATTACCCTAACCTGCCCAGTTAACCTAATTAGTTTAGCCTTTAAATGTCACTTTAAGCTGAAAAGAAGTGTCTTGAAAAATATCTAGTCAAATATTATTTACTGTCATCATGGCAAAGATAAAAGAAATCAGTTTTTAGAAATGAGTTATTAAACAATAATTTTAGGGAAATTAGGGAAAAATAAACAGGGGGGCTAATGATTCTGACTTTAACTGTATATTTTTACAATAACTTTTTTTTTTTAAAGTTACTTGCATGGTAAATTAGAAGTTCAGATCAAGTTTTCAAAAGACCTTACCTTATAAAACAAAAAAATGGTTCCCAATCGCACAGTCACCATTGTCTCTGTCTTGAAAGGTCTTTGAGATATCACCTAACTGGTTGTTTAGACTCCAATGCTATCGTGCGAGCTGTTTAAAATGCCTTTACTGGAGATATTTGTAATCTATAAAGTGGGTTGCCTGAGGGCTGTGGGATTTACATAAACGCAACATCCAAGGCTGCAGCTCTTCTAAAGACTACTGCAGTCTACTTCACATTCTTTCAAATATAAATTCAGCAAGATTTCTTTAGATGACTTTAAGGAAATAATGCGGAACCGCTGATGGTTAAAAACAGGTGGTTAGAAAAAGGAATTAAAGACTGAAATAAAAAAAATAAAAACTCAGCAGCCTTTACACTGAGTGTTCAAAATATAGATCAGACCAGTTGGTTTCTGGTACAGGTGCCATGACAAACAGGAACAAAGTTTGCGGCTGATAGTCTTGTAACTTCTCTCCTGAAAGAGGAAGCCAACATTCTGTTCTGTCAGCATGAAAAAAAGCTGTTAAAAATGTTTTATGGCAACACATAACAGAGTGAACATAATTTAACAAACACACATGGGGGGAAGACACAGTTTCATAATAGTGTTATAATAACCTCCAAACACCAGGTTTGGGTGAAGTTTTCCAGAGGAGGGCTAAGGACCAGGCAAGGGATAACAGTGCGAGCGGCCAAAGGGCTTGGTCACTAGATGTCAGTATTACTCTTGATGCCTCTGTAACCAAGATTCTAGGTCTTTTTTATTTTTCTCCTAATTTTCCTCCAGTAAACATTGGATGAAACAATAGTTTTGTTTTTTAATCACAAGAACTAGTTCTGTATAAAATGTATTATCATCATATCTGCTTTATAGCCTGTTTTAAATGGGGGGGGGGGGGGGGTGGGGTCAAAACATTTGTTTAGTTATTAGCACTGCTACAGATTATTTGAAAAAGGCTTTTAGTGGAATCAACTTCAGACTTTTGAACTAAGATATTAATTTTGATTCGGACTCAGAATAATATGGTTTCAAACTGTGCATCTATTTGATATACTGTGCTATACCTCCACACAGTAATTCAAAATGAACTAGAGTCTCCATATTTATCATGGGGTCACTACAGTGAAATGAACCGCCAATTTATCCAGCATATGTTTTACACAGCGGATGCCCTTCCAGCCGCAACCCAGTAACGGGAAACACTCAAACACTCCGACATTCGCACTCAGTCTAAATAGTTTGTTCTCTGTTGTTGGTAATATTAATTATACAGCCTTTACAGCACACAAACTACTCAAATATTAAAAAAACAAAAAACAAAAATACAGACAGTAAGTACTGTGTGAACAATCTGAGAAAAACCTTGACACACTGCCACTATGATGCTAATACAAAAGAAAACATATGGATTTACAAAAATGTCTGTTTGTAAAATTCCTGTACATTCATCTAATTATAAATTTTACACACACAAATGTAAATACAATTTGTTGCTCTACAGCAGTTTCCCATCCTTTACTAGCAACATTCAATATCCTCACTCCTAAAACACACTGATCAAATGGTTTCATTTGTAACAAACACTGCCTTTTTCCCCACCACAGAAATTTTGTCAATGTAAAAAATGTTAAAGTAACTACAGTAGTTTATACATTAATCTTGCCTTCAGACAGTTTTCAACAAACAAACTACAGTTAGTCTAAAATGCAGCAGTTTGATTTCAAACCAGCTTATCAAGGAATGTGATACCAAATTTTATTATCTTTATATCTATGGCTATCTATTATGTTCTATTTATCATGCTGTATGTCGACTGACTGTTTGATTGGCTGAATTATTTGGCTTCTGTTTTTGTCTTACCTGCCTTCTGGAACCATTCTTCACCAGACTCGAACCCCGTCATTGTGCTCATATCCTATCTGCGTTTCAAGTCCACAAGTTTATACAGATATAAACCACACTATTTCTTTTTTAATGCACTCAGTGCGATGTTCAGACCCAACTGTGTTAACCGCATCAGCTAAACTCTCCCACTCTATTTTTTTTCTTTTGTTGTTAATTCCGGAGAACAAACTTGCAAATAACACCGCTTTTCTCCTGTCTACCTCCGAAAGGAGCACCACCAATTCACATTCTGTTCAAAGTTTCTCTTCTTGCTTGCTTTTGCCTTTGCTTTTTCGTTGGGTTTTGCCATTAGCATAGTCATTAGCATATTCATACGGGGGAGGAGGCAGGGAGGGGTTTTGCGCTCGTGCATGTTCATTCGGATGTACAAAAGAATATGCGTGAGATTCGGCGTACGCAGTGTTTCATACATCTGAATTTTTTTCTGCGTACGCACATTTACAGCTTTGTGCGTACGCAATGTTTTAGTAAGATTTCCACGCAAGTCTTCGTACATGAGGCCCCTGGTCTTTTGACTGTGGGGGAACCTGGAACACCCGGAGGAAACCCACGCGAACGCATGGAGAACATGCAGACTCCACAAAGAAACGCCATCTGACCCAGCCAAAGCTCGAACCAGTGACCTTCTTGCTGTGAGGCGACAGCACTACCTACTGCGCCACTGCATCGCCCATACCAGTAATGTTCACGGTCAAAATGATGTTCATACAAAATCCTTCAGACAAATCTGATGATATAATGTGTTATACTGAAATATGTGGATACTCTCTTTATATGAACTCAATATTTCAATAAGGACTGGACTGGTCTTGTATATTTATAGAATGTTTTGATCACAGGGCTCACTTAACTGAGATTATGCCTCTGTTTTTAAGTGAAGAAAAGGATATGGATCATTTAGTCACATTGAAATAAAATATGACACAATTTTCACACTTTTTTCACAAATAGCATGCTTTAAAAAAGTTTGAGACTATCTTTTGTTCTTTATAGGCACTAATCTGTACACTTTATGTACTAACATAGAGGCAAGGCAAGTTTATATATATAAATATATAGCACATCATACACAATGGAAGTTCAAAGTGCAAAGAATAAAATAAACAAGAAATAAAAATGATTAAAATGTGTTAAAACAGGTTATAAAAGAATGAAAACAAAAAGAAAGATAAAAGTGCGATCTGTCGGACGTATCTCATTGAGTAAGTTGTCGCAACTCTCTCTTTGAGACTCTGATCCTATGCAGAGCAGATTGAGCATTCTGATTGTTGCAACACCAGGATGAAAAAAAAAAAAATCAGTATCGTGTCAAATCAAAAATCCCAGCTAACCGAGTAATCCACATTTAAATAACAAACCCCCCGGCATATCAGTTAATCCACTTGTTAAGTGATGACGTGTTGGTGACGTATGTAATACTGTTTCCGGGTCCAAGCCGCTACTCATTTGACTTGAGAAACTATTTGTTTATGATCAAACATGATTGTTTATCCCTTTTAACTCATATCACACAATAAAGTTAATTTTATATAAAATCATAGTGTGCACAACAATCTCTGGGCTTGCTGCATCACAAATACGAAAAATTTAACAATTTATAAAAAAAATGAACCACTTTCTGGCCATCGGATTTTAGGCATGGACATATATATTGCAATCGTGATTTTCGAAAGTATTAAATCGCTTTGTAAACGTTTATAATTACCCTTTCATGAGTCTCCCCATACAGTTGAATGGACAGAGCGCTTGGACCCGGAAGCCGCTTTGCGTGACGTCACACTTATCAGCAGTTAAAATTAAGAGCCTCTTAAGAGCAAAGTAATAAACAATGACATTCATTTCTGATCAATTCTGATCACCTTCTCCACCGCATTCCTCATCATCATAGCAGATGTTGACTCTTACATCATCTACTGAAAGGAGGGGTGTTGTTTTTCCTCTGCAGGAACATGAGGAGAAGAAGAGCAAGTACCGAGGAAGGATGTACAACTTTAAAATGAGCAGAACAAAGAGCAAGATCCCTCCCAGAATGCCAAGAAAACCTAACAGTGGAACCCCTGCTACTTGTTTGTTAGTACATTGGAATGCCTCTCCTTTGCAGTCACACACACTTGCTTGAATGGCACTCTCCTGAGATTGACCCTCCCGATCAGTAACTCTCAGGACTAAATTGTATTCACGCTGCTCCAACTGAGATTGAGGCTTGAGACTTAGATAATGACCGGTTTCTAAAATTGGCAAATGTAATAGTTAGAGATGTACACTCAAAGTCAGTTGAACAATGTATATTAAATAAATAAAACAAAAACAAGTACTCACCATTGAAAAACACAGACCAGTTTTTACTAGTATCACCTTGGGGCTCAACTGTGAAGGGACCAGCAAAAGGAGGTCCATCATTGTCCGTTATAGAGAGAAGCACTGGGCCTGAATCTTGATTGCACAATTCTATGGTCCTTTCGTGAATAACCGGAGCATTGTCATTTACATCCTGCAGCTCAATTACCAGTGTTCCTGTGCCAGTTGTTGGAGTATCAGCTGCAAACAACATTTGTTCAAATATTAGAGAAATGCTTTGCTATCAACAACTTTTCTATTACAAAGAAACAAAATATACCATCATCCAAAGCCAAAATAACAGCTTTGTATTTGCCATCCTTGACACTGGGATTTTCTCGATCCATAGGTTTCTTGACTTGAATCTGTCCAGCATCTGTTACACTGAGCCAGCCAGAAGGATCATTGCCAATTCTATAACTGTAAGGAACCAAACATACAGGTTGAGTATGTTCAGCAAGAACAACTTGGATTTGGCTTCACTGAATCTTGCATAAAGGTTTGAATCCACCTGAAGTTTAAATGGATGAATTTGTATTTTGTAGTTTGAATTCTGCATAAAAGACTTAAAGCGATTTAGTACTTCATGCTTATTTGCTAGACACCTGCCACATGATTACTAGTACCTACAGTATAAGGGTGTCTAACTGTTAGTCTCACAGGGAAATACATTCACAAAAGGTACATCACAAAGTTTCAGAAATCTCTAAATTTTTTTTCAATATTGAAGACATATTTCTTACATTATCTTTTGCTTTTTTTCAGTGTCAGGATCAGTGGCTGTGTAATTCACCAAATCACTACCAACAGGTAAATCTTCAGGTTTGGAAATAAACTTCTCCTTTGGATTAAACTCAGGCGGCTCGTTCTCATCTTCTACATTCACAGTGACTGTGGCAGTTGAAGTAGGCAAAGGACCAACAAATTTATCATCGTTCACAACGATCACAGACAGAATGTACTGCTTGTTCTTCTCATAGTTCAGGGGCTAAAATGAAAAGTAAAATGGTTTTTAATAAATTATGCCATCACAACCAATTGCCTGGGCAGACACTAGTAACACACAATACCTTTACAGTGGTGATGACGCCCTCAAGACGGCTGGGTCCAGTGCTGACATTGAAAAACCCACCCTTGTCACCACCAATGACTCGATACTTGGTTGACCAAGCTGTTGATTCAGGTTCATCTCCATCAGTAACTGGAAGTTTGGCCACTTCAGCCCCAACTTGATTCTCTGGGACAGATACAGTGTACTAAAATAAAGAAATACACAGTGTGTGAGTTATACACATATATAAATACTTGGGCATTTTATAGTATAAGATTATGAATATGTATTACCAAGGTTTGCTCAAACAGAGGTGCATTATTATTGCTGTCTGTAACAGTAATAACTGCTGTGCCAGTGGTTGACCCACCCTCTCCGTTCATATCAGTAGCCGTAATAACCAAAGTATAACTGGACCATTGCTGAAAGAGGAAGATGACTGATGAGGTTGCTTGCATAAACTTGACAACTGTTGAGATTCATCAAAAAGCATTTCTCACCTCTCTGTCCAGGCCTGTTTCCAGCATAGAAATCCCTCCACTTACAGGATTGATAGCAAACATGTTTGGTTTTGGAGATGGTGGATCTTGGCTGATAATGGCATAACTGATATCAGCATTGTCAGTATTTTCTTTATCATCTGCATCAGTGGCTGTGACCGTCATAAACACTTCACCTTTGGTGAGAGAGTAATTAAACTATTATTTGAGCTGAAGATACATTTAAGGGAGAAAAACAAATGAAAAGTAATGAAAGCAATTTCACCTAAAACTGCACCATCCACTTACCCTTTTCCAAAGCTTCAGGAACATTTGCATTGAAAGGGTTTTGAGTAAACACTGGCTTATTATCATTTTGATCCATCACAGTTACAATAAATTCGAATGGCTTTTCCACTATATTCGCATCCACTCCAGTGGCATGAGCTACAAGCTAAAGACATAGTTTTATTGTATTATTTTTAAATAGTTGTCAATTGTCAGTGTTATATTTTGACCTACATCAGTGCATCAAAAACATGGTAGTCAGGTCATACAGAAATCTTTAGCAAACAAATGCAAAGCATCTCCATAACAATATAAAATGTAATACAGCAATTGTAGATTTTTTAAACCTGAAAAGAGTAAGAATCAACTTACTTTGTATGAAGCTTTTTTTTCTCTGTCAAGTTGCTGAGTTACACTGACCCATCCTGATAGTCTGTCTATTTGAAAAATTCCCTTAGGGTCCTGATCTGCTCCTTCACCAGTGATCTTGTATGCCATTGGAGTTTCAGAAGCAGAATCTGACTTTATCTAAATACAGAAAGACATCAGAAAAACAGCCTAATTCAGACAAAACCTTCTTATCATTCACCTCAATTTACAACAGTTCGTTCCTAACTGTCACTGACCTGGAACAGCCTCATTGGGAAAGGACCTTTGCCATTCTCATGTAATGTTAATGGAGGTAAAATCCAGCATCTCTTTGCTCTATTTAAACCCAATGAAGACTTTGGGAATATCAAAATTAGATCATCAGAGAGAGATTTCGTCTACGAAAATAAAAACAATATAGGCATAACAGCTGTCTTCAGTAAAATATTAGTTTTATTTAATATATTATTATATATCATAATAAATATTAATAACATCATGATGTTCTTATTTTGTTGAAACCAAAACAGCACAAATATCATCAATTACAAATATAATAATTATCATATATATATATATATATATATATATATATATATATATATATATATATATATATATATATATATATATATATATATTGTAATTGATGATATTTTTCTGTTTTGGTTTGTACAAAAAGCATCATGATCACATACAATTAGCCTAAAAATAGTACAATTTGTACCATGTTATACAAAGCAGTTTTAGGAAGTAATATCTATACCTGTACAGAGGAAGTATTCATTAATGTATTCACGTCATGATCCTTATGATAATCGACACGCTCAACTCTGACAAAGACTGTGTGCTTCTTGCCACTGAAGTCCCATGCAGACACTGAAAACTCCTTGAGGCCTTCATGAAGAGTCACTGACCTCCTCATCATCAGAGTCCCATCCATGTTCAGATCAATCTCCTGATCAGTGGACTGAAAATCTATTCCTGTTCTTCCATCACATGTGCTAAATACGACTGTCAACAAAAGAAATTCACAAGCAAAACAAAGCATATTGGCTGTGTACTGAAAAAATGCTTTTTATTACTGAAATATTTTGTCTTGTTTCTAGTTCAAATATATAAAAAATATCAAATTCAGAAGCTTTTTATAGACAAGTAAAATATTATCTTGTCCTCAGAAAATATTAAAATGTTTTTAATTTCAACATATTTTACGCACCCTATTGGCAGAATATGTTGCTTGTTTTAAAACTCACCTAATCTTGGCATATTGTTTTTAAAAATGTCACTATTTTTAAAATGCTTTTTGATTTAAGAATTTTTTAAAATATTTGGACTAAAAACAAGACAAAAAAAAAAAATCTAAGTAAGAAAAGTATTTTTGTGGTGTGCATGAGAACCTGGTTCCCTAAGTAGGGAACAGAATACTGTTCAAGCACAATTCTTTATCCATCAAGTTGAGATTGTGAATGTCCAGCATCTGATCACTCTCAGTGTCAATGTTTTAGAGATAGTTATAGGGGTAAGAAAAATAATTAATGTTAGAAGATATGTTAAAAGAAATGGTACAATTTCCTGAACAATATACTGCATCTGTGTTTTAATCTGCAACTGTTTTTTAATCACTGAAAGATTAAACAAAAAGTGTAAACATTACATTTGCCCACTAAATATTAAGTCCTCTTAATATTAATATACTCTTTTATCTGTCATTTAAGAGTTCACACTTAGCTGATGATTGACAATAAAGCATGTTTGGCATGCTTTCCTGGGAGAGAGCCCTGAGCTCAGTATATTCTTGAGCCCTGGGCACAAGCAGTATGATTATTTCAAGTAGCCACAATTGAAAAAAAAAAACAAAAGCGAGGCTGCAGTAAGAAGAATCCCAGAAGTATAGGATCAGCAATGTATTTCAAAGTGCAGATGTGGTTTATACATCACATTAATATCATTCTGTTCAGTTTAATTTAAACAATCTCTTTAAGAGTAATACAATTAAGTGTCCTCCTAGGCTTCATGGCACCAGGTAAACATTGTGAGCATGCATCCCGGCTTCAGGTTATGTAACCCGGTGAGCAATAAAACAATGCAGTCCTCTGTAGCACACCCTCATGTTGTCTGTAATAGTCCCAGTACTGACATTTTAAAAATGTCAACTTCCCGCTAATATTTAAGTGCATTCTTGAACACTGATTTGCCATAGTATTCACCAGTGTTCAACAGAAATGACTGTGATTGGCCGTGACGGTCATCAGTTCACCACTCTTCACAGAGTGCAAACACAGATACAGGGGCACTGGAGCGTTTTAAAGCTGCAAAGATCAGTCGAGTCATTAGCGGATCACTCGTCTGTGTTTGCACTCGGTAAACATCAGTGAAGTCCAGTGAACTGATGACCTTTACGGCCAATCACAGTCATTTCTGTTGAGCACTGGTGAACACTATGGCAAATTAGCGATGTTTAAGAATGTGCTCAACAGTGCTTAAATGTTACCAGGAAATGGACGTTTTTATTTATTTATTTATTTACATTTCAGTACTGAAATTCAGGATTCTGACAAGTCTATTGTAGTAAAAGATTCAGTTCATTAAATTGAGTTTGATGGTACCTAAAACGTGTTTGGGAAAGAAAACTTTAGTGCTATTTCCCTTAGCTTAAAATGAGATCCCATATCCCTTTTTATTTTCACTATCCATTCAGAAAGAATCTTCGAGTCACTCGGAAAGTGGTGAAGTTATAAATTTGTGCCACTTTCACTTCACTGATAATATATACAGCCAGGTACACAAACAATATGCCATCGCGGACGCCTGTGTGCCTCGCAGCTTCGCTTTCACTTTTAAAATGGCGGCTGCATGAAATCAGTCTATTAAGAGAGCAATTACATGCAGTGGAGGAATGACACTAGGTTTAAGCAGATTTTCTAAAGAAGGAAAATATAGTGAAGGTGCATTATTTTGCAGACACATCAAGGGCCAAGTTAGTGCCATTGGTCAATGAATGAGTGATTCTAAAGAGTCATTTGGCAATAGTCACATTTGAAGGGGTTTTAGAATCAGCTCATACTATCACCTCTGAAAGAGCCAACACATTCTTATTCATGGCGAACATCAACAGCCAACTCAATTAAGTCAATTAAGTGACATCACTTATTTCAATATTTATAAAAGCAGATACATTGCATGTATAAAATTGTGTTTGTCTGCATTGATTACTCGCTCAATGTTTAGCTGCTTCTTTAGTATAATTAGAAGTACACCGCTTACCTCTCCCGAGTCTCTCTCCTTTGTGAAGGTGATCTTTGTGGACTTTAACAACCAGCAGCTTTGACTCAAAACCAGGTGTACATGGAGACTCCTCTGCAAATCCACAAGACAATATCTAAATTGAAACAAATTAGATTGTTTTATATAACATTTACACTGACATAGTGCTTTTATAGTTCATTGTTTTTAAATTAATATCTATTCTGGTCATTTTTTTCAAGCTCTTCCACTTTAAACTCACCCATCATGTCTTTATAGAGTTTGCTTTGTGTACTGGTGCCAGGTTAGAACATGAAGGGGGCATTCCCAAACTGTTCTCATAGGAGTATAAAACTGTCAAAAATGTATTGCATGCAGAGGGATTAAAGTTTCCCTTCACTGGAAGACCAACCCCTGAAAAACAACTGCACCTAAATCCCCCTCCAACTTTACATTTGGCACAGTGCAAGCAGAGAAGTTCTGTTCTTCCAGTAAGTGCCAAGCCTAGACTCGTCCATTGGATTGACAGGCAGACAGACACTTGGATTTGGAGCAACTATTCTTGTGTAAAAGGAATTGCTAAACTATTAAAATTAGTGGTTTACTGACTGTGTCTCAATCTCCAGACCTTCTTTCGCTATACAGACCTCACAATAACAAATTTTTTACTTATTAATTAAATTAATTATTCATGGATTTATTGATTGATTGATTTTGAAACCGTTTTAACAGGATGAAGAGGTCCAAATTTTTATACTTTGTTGTTGTTGATATATACCCCATTTAGTACTGTTATTCTGAGGCAACAGAAGACATGTTGCATCTTGCCTGTTTTCTGGAGAAAACATTTAGTACAATTTATTTATTTTTTTTATTTATCTTTAAAGGCACAACGTTTTCACAACTAGCTTTTAATTCATTTTGTTTCCTTCTGGAACTTCTTAACCTTTTTAACAATGAAATAAAGTTTGAGTTGTCTTAAAGAGATAGTTGACCAAATAAATTATTTTACACATTATTTATCGTCCCTCCAGCCTTTCTTTATTCTGCTAAATGCAAAAGAAAATATTGAAAAAAAAAAAAAAAAAAAAAAAACTCAAAACCTGTAGAAAAAACAAATACTTTGGAAATCAATGGTTACAGGTTTCCAGCTTTTTCAAAATATCTTCTTTTGGTAAACAAGTTTGGAACAAGTGAAGGGTGAGTAAATAATGACAAAAAGTATTATTAGACTTATATCCATTTAATTGTCCTCAATTTGAATACATGGATTTCTAAACTACATGTGACTGCATGCGAAAAATATACATATACATTTCTTACATATTTCATATGATTGTTTTCCAAGATTCTGCAAGGAGTTCCCAAACTTTCGTATAGCATATTTTTACATGCTTTTTAATGATTTAATTTAAATAAGTATTTTAAATCATACAATAATTCAAATAATAAGCATTGGTTTTGTAATGTTATTCGCTACATTTGCCACATTTTGTTATTTGAGATTGTAGCAGTTGTTTGCAGTTGTGGTGGGGCCTATTCGACAACAAGATAAAACACTTCTTAAACATCTTTAAACACATCGGTAACACTTTAGTCAATAAGGTTCATTAGTTAATGCATTTACTAACCTGAATTAATCATGAACAACACTTGTACAGCATTTATTAATCATAATTGAACATTTACTAATGCATTATTATCATCCAAGTCCATGCTTGTTAGCATTAGTTAATGCACCATGAGTTAAGGCAAGGCAAGGCAAGTTTATTTATATAGCACATTTCATACACAGATGCATTTCAAAGTGCTTTACATAAACAAGAATAAAAGAGACAAGTGTAAGAAAATGAAAACAAATGATAAAAATAAAAACAAATAATAAGAATTATAAAAATAAGAATAAAAATAGATAAAACAGATAAAAATGTGTTAAAATATGTTATAAGATAATGAAAAAGAAAAGAAAAAGATAATAGTGTGATCTGTCAGACGCAGCACAGTGCTCATTCAGTAAAGTCACAGCTATACAGATGCGTTTTCAGTCTTGATTTAAATGTGTCTAATGTTTGAGCACATCTGATCATTTCTGGAGGACAGGCGTGATGTGCTCTGATTTCCTGGTTCTAGTCAGAATCCTGGCTGCAGCGTTCTGGATGAGCTGTCTGACTGTCTTTTTGGGAAGGCTAGTGAGGAGGCTGTTACAGTAATCCACCCTACTGCTGATAAAAGCATGGACAATTTTCTCTTTAGCCCCTTTCACACATACAGACCTTTCCGGAAAATTGCCGGCAATTTTCCGGAAAGGTTGTATGTGTGAACAGGTCCTTTTTGAAAATACCGGTAAATTCGTTCTGGCTATTTTCCGGAAAGAGAAGTTGTAACATTACCGGCAATTTGCCGGAATACTGCGCTGTGTGAACGCAAAAGGAAGATTACCGTAATAAGCGCGTGCACGTCTAGAACGTGCTGACGTGAGACGTCTGCTTTAGCCAATTACAACAGTCAGACGCATTTACGTCCGCGCGGTTTGTGAGAATAAAAACCTTTGAATATTTTTCCAGACACATTTAGCTGCTAGAAGTTAGTCAGATCACGTTTATATGTTCTTCTTTATGCCAACTGTGTAAATAATCATCGATGAGATGCTTATGATAAGCCGTTGTTTGTTTACCTTCAAGCTTTGCGTGTGCCTGTGAGCGCCTGCACACGCAAATATTATGAACATCTCGACATGCGAAAGTGATCCTGCGAAAGTTGTTCACAATATTGATCATCCACAGAGTTTGTAATTTAGGCAAATGTTTACAAATACAAGCGCAGCCGTTAAAGCTCATTTGTGGTGAATGATGTCAGAATTTACCGGTATTTTGGAATGGATGTGTGAATGCTCTTTTCCGGAAAATTTCCGTAACGTCCTCGCCTGTGTGAACAGCGCTTTTTTGAATATACCGGTAAAGTCGTTCCGTAAATTTTCCGGATATTTACCGGTATCACTGTGTGAAAGGGGCTTTTGTTTTCATTGGAAACAAAGCATCTTATTCTTGCAATGTTTCTGAGATGATAGTATGCTGATTTACTGACTGCTTTGACATGACTATTGAAAATCAGATCTGACTCCAGAGTCACACCAAGATTCTTGACCTTATTTTTTGTCGTTTGACCCTTAGTGCCAAGGTACACATTCACCTTGAGAACCTCATTTCTGTTCCCAAACGCAATCACTTGAGTTTTCTCTTTGTTTAACTGAAGAAAGTTTTGGCACATCCAACTGTTCATTTCATCAATGCATTGGCAGAGGGTGTCAATGAGGCTGTTGTCATTAGGCAGTACGGCTAAGTAGATCTGAGTGTCATCAGCATAGCTGTGGTGGGACATTTGGTTCTTTCTCATTATTTGGCTTAGAGGGAGCATATGAAGGTTAAACAGGAGAGGTGCCAGAATCGAGCCTTGTGGGACTCCACATGTCATGGGTGTCCACCTCGACCTATGGTCACCTATACTGACATAGAAACCTCTCCCTTTAAGGTAAGATCTGAACCATTTGAGGACCGTCCCAGATAGCCCAACGCAGTTTTTCAGCCTATCCAGAAGTATGATGTGATAGACAGTATCAAATGCAGCACTGAGATCGAGCAATACCAGCACTGTTAGTGTACCTGAATCTGTATTTAGGCGTAGATCATTGATTATCTTTATAAGAGCGCTCTCAGTACTGTGATGTGCTCTGAAACCAGATTGAAAATTGTATAAACACCCCTTTAAGTTTACAAACTTGTTAACCTGGTTAAAAACAACTTTTTCAATGATTTTGCCTATAAAAGTGAGATTTGAGATTGGCCTTTAATTGCTCAATAGTGTGTTATCCAGGTTGCTCTTCTTCAAGAGGGGTTTAATAACTGCAGCTTTAAGTAAGTTTAGAAAAATTCCTGAGCGAAGTGAAGCATTTACCACCTTTAGAAGATCCATTTCTAAACAAGTAAACACTGTTTTGAAGAATGATGTGGAGAGCGTGTCAAGACTGCAGGTTGATGTTTTCATAATTTGCACAATCTCTTATAAGATTTTACCATTAATTGCCATGAAATCAGACATAATGTCTGATTTCTTAAGTTGTGGTTTGGCTTTTCTGACATCGACACAACTTGGCTGATTGGACGGGCTTATTGCCTTTCTGATATTAGTGTTCTTGTCAGTAAATAAATGAGCAAACTCATTACATTTGCTTTTAGAGAGTAACTCACTGGGAATCCGACTGGGGAGGGGGAGGGGGGGTCTCTATCGTTCCAAAGAGTGTACGAGCATTATTTACGTTGTTGTTTATAAGGCTTGAAAACAAACACTGCCTAGCAGTGTTGAGTTCCACATTAAAAGCATGAAGACTGTCTTTATAGATATTATAATGGACTACTAGTTTCGTCTTTCTCCACATTCGCTCAGCTTTTCTGCATTGTCTTTTCATCATTTTGACAGCTCTTGAGTTTCTCCATGGGGCACTCTGTTTGCTAGTCATCTTCCTGACTGAACAGGAGCAATGTCCTTTATGACTATCTTAACTTTAGAGTTGAAGTTAAACAAATCAAGGAGAGAATCAACAGAGTCTGCAGATATACTTGGTGCTAGCGATAAGGCCTTCATAAACTGCTCACTGGTGTTCTCATTTATGCATCTCTTTCTGACAGAGACAGATTTGTCTTTAATAGCTGGAGTGATCAATATATCAAAGAAAATACAGAAATGATCAGATAGTGCCACATCCTTAACAACAGTCGATAAAATGTGTAAACTTGTGATTTTTACAGTTCTCTTAATTATACCGTAAACTGAAAACCATTCTACTGCATTTTTAATGGTACATTTCAGGCACCCACAGCCTGTTTTTTGCCAGTTTTTCGCCATAAATTTTACAGGATTTCACGGGATTTTTTTTTACAGTGTAGTTTGTTCTGTAGAGAATCTAAAAGAATAATTAAATAGGGGGTCTAATTAGTACACCTTTTAAAATGCTTTTTGTTTTAGTCCAGACAAACTAAACTAAACTATATATATATATATATATATATATATATTGTAACGAGCACACACATGCCACGTCGCCCTGGTCGCTAATCCAACCCAGCTGGACCATCATCAACACAGGATCGCTCACAGCTGGACGTCATCAAGCGGAGAGGCATATAAACCAAGCCCACGCCAGAGGAAGACGAGCTTCATTTAACTAATGACTCCCTGCGCTAATGCTTGTCTCTCTGTCTCTCCACAGCAGACTCCAGCTCGTGACGATCCCACACCCGACTACTCACTGTCCTTCACCTACTTACCAGAGCACCTCACCTCGAAGAAGAGCACCGTTTGCACAACCTTCACTTTGTAAATAAAGCACCCTCCGGGGACTTGTCTGTAAACTTATCCAACTGTGTCTGTGTTTTTTCCCCTCTGCCTCGCTACTATATATATATATATATATATATATATATATATATATATATATATATATATATATATATATATATTTTTTTTTTTTTTTTCCCTCCCAGAGATGGGTTGCGGCTGGAAAGGCATCTGCTGCGCAAAAAAATTGCTGGATAAGTTGGCGGTTCAATCCGCTGTGGCGACCCCGGATTAATAAAGGGACTAGGCCGACAAGAAAATGAATGAAATTTATATATATATATTTACACACACAAACACGCACACACACGCGCACACACACACACACACACATTTGAAGTCAGAATTATTACCCCCTTTCAATTTTCTTTTCTTTTTAAAATATTTCCCAAATTATATTTAACCGAGCAAGGGAATTTTCACAGTATGTCTGATAATATTTTTTTCTTCTATAGAAAGTCTTTTTTGTTTTATTTCGGCTAGAATAAAAGCAGTTGTAAATTTTTTAAAAACCATTTCAAGGACAAAACGATTAGCCCCTTTAAGATATATATTTTTTTGATTGTCTACAGAACAAACCATCATTATACAATAATTTGCCTACTTACCCTAACCAGCCTAGTTAACCTGATTAACCTAGTAAAGCCGTTAAATGTGACTTAAACTGTATAAAAGTGTCCTGAAAAATATCTAGTCAAATACTATTTAGTGTCATTATGGCAAAGATAAAATAAATCAGTTATTATAAATGAGTTATTGAAACTGTTATGTTTAGAAATTTGTTGAAATAGTCTGCACTCAGTTAAACAGAAATTGGGGAAAAAATAAACATTCTTTGTTCTGTACAATAATTTAAAAAAATATTTGGAATAACATTTACAATTTTACAAGGAATTTATTTATTTATTTTTTATTTAAGTTCACTTTTTATTCCAATATACATTTACACATTTATTATAAAAGTCGCTTATATAATACAAGTTCAGAATAAGTCTGAAAATAGAATCCTACCTTAAAAATCACAAAGAGGGTTCCCAATCGGACAGTCATAATTGTCTCCGTTTGAAACAAAATGTTTTGAAAGGTCTTGGAGAAATCACTTCCTTTCTGGTTGCTGCTATTGGAGTGCCTTCACAATATAAATGCGTGTGGCATTTATATTGTTTACTGTGAGGTGCTTTTGGGCAGTGGCATTTTTGCATCATACATGCAATGTAAAAAGCTGCAAATGAAAAGGATTTTTTTACTACATCAGAATGAGGAACCACTGAAGGTTAAATAGTGGTTGACATCAAGTCAAATACAAAAAAAAAGAAAAAAAAAAAGAAATGCGAGACAATGCATTTAATTGAGCTGGTGATATCACTGTGAGGGGTTGGGGTGGGGTTAGATGAGCACATTAAAATGCATTAGATGCAGTTCAGATTGCACTGCACCATGTCTGTATCCAGACCCCTCTCGCTTAAACTGAGTGCTCAAAATCAAGTCATGGATGAGACCAAAAGGGAATTGCACAAAAGAAGAACTAGGAAAGCAGAAGAATAACAGCAGAAGTGCACATTCTAAAACCGCAGGATTCAACATGAGTTATGCGAATGTGGATAAACCTGATTAACTCATTTACTTATTACCTGTGAGCCAATCAGGTAACAAGTTGAAAAACGCACCTCTCGCCCACTCATCTGGGAACTTTCATTTCTTTCATGTTGAGCCTTAAAACAAATTCCAAGGTGAACTGTATTCTTTCAACCCTATAATGCGAATGTTGTCTCCTCTACTGCGATTTTCGGCATCTTCTGCCTTCCCCGAGAGGGATTGTACAGTTTTTTCCAGCGCCACAATCTTGCTTTGAAGTACGACCATGTTGTCCTCGGTCTGGGAAACACGACTCTCCCCTTCCGTGATCCGTTTCGTATTGTCCTCTAAACGGGTTGGGTTGTAATTGAATCTTACAACGACTCAAAACGTGAGAATTTCTCATTCAGTTAGGCACTTAAATTGTCAATAACAACTTGCGCTAGGCGGAGCCTCCATCTTTGGTACCTTGATTAGCTGTCGGTTGGCCTTTTGTTGTTGTGCGGCCTCGTCTAGCATTGGTTTCTTGTTGAGATGAAGCGGGTCCTGTTCCTGACATGTTTGGGTGTCGAGTACTGAAGAGTAAAAATAAAAAAGCTACGTAGCTTAATGTGAAAATAATGAAAATAGCACGATGCTTGCAGGAGCTCAGTGAAATCGTGAACTTGTTGAGCCACCTAGGTCGAAAGGATCACGTGACCCCCAAGTTGAACTGTATTAACAATTTTACACTTTGCCCTAAATTTGACCAGTGCCCAAAATTTGATCAGTGGTCATTTTCCCCAATATTGCACATCTATTTTATCTATTCAATTCAACCGAGGCTTATTCTCAAAATGTACCTCTATACATTTCTGTAGACTGTCAATTTTGTCCCAGATGCTAAAATATTTAGCTGTTTTTGTTTTTGCAAATCCACCAGAGGCCACTGTGTATGCTTTTTGAGATCTAAAATTTCTCCCACAAGTGTCATTCTCGCCTGCTGTTCGCACGCAAATTTACCAAAGGCCGCTGTCGACTGATAGACTGACTGACTGACTGATTGACTGACCGATCAACTGACCCACCCTCCTCCTTCCCTAGACCAATAATGTTTTCAAAAGCACAAATTGACCCACCCACCCAGCCCTCACCTGATTTTTACTAAATTTTTAGCTTTTACCACATTCTCGCTCTGATATTCACTTGTTTGTTTATTTTTTTTGGCTTTGATTTTATATTATTTGTTTTCCAGAAGCGTTCTTTGCCAGACTTAAATCCTATCGTCATGGTCAACTACTCTCTACGTCTCAAGTCCACTAAAGTACATAGAGAGCTAACTGGACAAACTGGTATTAGCGGATAAGGCGTCTATATAGAGGTAAGCAGTCAGCTTGTAAGCGCAAAAAGAAATGGCGTTATACTTGCCGTAGCATTCACTTTAAAATAAAATGCAGACATACATCTGTCTGGTTACATAATTGGCCCTCTCCAAAAATATACATTGGATGGCATTTTCAGAGTAAGTCTATGCTGGTTCAATTTATCTGATCTATTTTATCATCTGTATACGCTTTAAACTCTCATTTAGTTTTTTTTAATTGATTGTATTTAAATTATGATATTTCAAGAGTTCACACTAAGCTGATGATGGATTATAAAGTTTATTTGGCATGCTGTGCCTGGAGAGAGTCCTAAGCTTGTAAGATCCTTAAGCCCCGGTACCCTCCCATTAGCAGGGCAAAAGAGGAGTTTGAGCTCAGGTCTCGATGAACTCCCTCAAACTATTTCTGGATAATGATAGATAAGGGGATGACCAGTGGTGTAAAGTAACAAATTACAAATACTCAAGTTACTATAATTGAGTAGTTTTTTTTTTCAGGAATTGTAATTTACTAAGTAGTTTTAAAAATGTGTACTTTTACTTTCCCTTGTGTACATTTTTAGTGCAGTATTAGTACTTTTACTCCACTACTTTTCTTCAACTTTCAATTTGCACTAATTTATTTTATTTTGTTTATGGGGATTAGAAAATGAGTCTGTGATTCCTGCCCAATCAAATCGCACACAAAAGGTAAACCGCCACATAATGAACTACCTCAAGACATGAGCGCTTTATAATTGAAGCAAACTGTTTGGAAGCATTAAAAGTGTCCAAAATGTTTACACTTAATGACCCTGAAACTGTTTAGATGCATATCACAGATGAGAAGATGATGGATGTTTTCTGTATGATGACCGAAATAGCCTTAAACCCAGCAGGCACAAGACGTCAACACGACACCAGACTGACTTTGAACCCCAATGTTGTGGGGACATTGCATTCTGTTTGGAAATGAAAATTGAGTATACATCAGAACCCAATGTCAGGGCGACATCAATTTCTAACAACCAATGTTAAATTAACCTAATATTAACATCTATTAATGTTACAGCTTGACGTTGTGTTGGTGTTACCACTATGACGTTATGTTGGATTTTGGTTGTCATACCAGGCGAATAAATGTCAGTATTTGACCTCAATACGACGCTGGTTCAAGATGTTGGCTCTATATTGGATTATGGTCACTTTTTAGCACAACTTAAAATCAACCAAATATCAATGTCATTTGTTGTCATTAGACATTAAAATAACGTTGTCCTTAGATGCTGACTAGACATTGAATTTTGGTCACCTGACATCACAACCTAAATCGGACCTAATATTAACATCTTATGACATTGTGTGACTTCTGGACAATAACTAAATGCACGACAGAACGTCACATTTACACACATGGACTCACTACTCACTACTCTTGAGTACATCTGAAATGTCTACTTTTTACTCATACTTTGAATAATATTCACAACAGATACTTCTACTCTACTTGCACTACATTTTTAGGTAAGTAATAGTACTTTTACTTAAGTATTGTTTACTTGCCACCACTGGGGATGATGATTTTTGCAACATAGGCTCATATTGAAAATGAGAACAATCTTGATCCTGGAGGGCCGGTGTCCCTGCAGGGTTTAGCTCCAACTTGACTCAACACACCTACCTGAATGCTTCAAGTATACCTAGTAAGACCTTGATTAGCTTGTTCAGGTGTGTTTGATTAGGGTTGGAGCTAAAATCTGCAGGACACCGGCCCTCCAGGAACAAGTTTGGTGACCACAGGTTTAGAGTGTCGTGTTTACTATCAATATGTTGATATCTAATGTATATAATGTCTATATAATATAAATATATAATGTCTATCTTCTGCTATTTTACAACACATGATGCTGAGTGCATGATATTAACTTGTACGGTTTGCATTATTTAATGCTCATAGTTAAGGTCAGTCTGTGTGTTGAGGGAGGTCCCTCATTATGCATAGAAGCGGTCCAAAGACAAAGAAAATCCCCCCCCCATGAAACCATAGGCCAGTCAGTAGAAGATGGGTGTGACTTGCCCCCACAGTTAAAACCCATCTACGCACACAGATCTGGGCAGAAAAAGATCTCCGAAAGAAACTCTTCAGATGTGCCCCCCTTTCGAGGGGGCAAACTGCATTTCTGTACCCACGTGACTTGTCTGAGTCCGAGTTTTTCTTATTTTTCCGGCAAAGTAAACTCAGTTTAAAGTTTGCGCCTCGTGTATCCTCCGATCTGCATCGCAAGCTCCACGCCCCAAGGAAAGACATCAAAGGACTCCTTCCTCCAGCGCATCAAAGAAACTTGCACAAAGAGAGACAAAAATACCCACTGAATCCAGGTATTTAGTTATGCGTTAAAGCTGCGCCCCTTATCAAAAAGGTGTTTTTGTAATCTTGGGGGTCCTGAATAGTTGTCTGGAACTGAGGTAGATTTGCCATTCTTTTATCTAAACTCTTTATTTCCTCGCTCGCTTCCTTCGATGTTTTTGTTGCTATGTTTGTGTGTTTGTTTGTTATATGTCAGACTAGTCAATAAATCCCATTATAATCAAATGGATTGTATTGTTTGCCTTACAGAAAAAGTCACTTAAACGTTCAAATTTAGCTACAAGCTGTTTTTCAAAACTTATAAACTATTACTCTACTTCACAAGGAGTAGTTGTACTTCCCTTTCTAAATAAATAGATCATTACAGGTTTGGGTATATTTATTTGATCAAGTTAACAATAAGTTAATTCAGAATACAATAATTGATAATAACTAGTTGTTACTGATCATTAATATTTATTCAATAAACTGAGTTTTTATTCTCATTTCGCTACATTGCATTGAACAAAGCTAATTTGCTTTAGTCACACTAATTTGACAGTCAACAGAGGATTCAAGCCTTTTTCAATGGGTTATTTTCACAATCAATGACAATGAGGGTGTAGCTGTCAAAATAGGACAAATGAGCTTATGTATGGAACAAATTATGGACCTTTGTTATTGAGGAGTGGGTCTTTCAAACCACCCGAACCTACCCTGGCTACAGGCTTAATGTACAGTACATACTAATGCACAGCTAATGTAAAAAGGCTATTATTAATCATGAATAAGTGATTAATTCATTATATGTGTACATAGAGTGAATGTTGATTATTTGACATTATTATTTTAGGCATCAACAGTCAAGTTCATTCACAATATTTGTACATTAATCTATTACTTGAGCTCAGTGAAGGCCATTAACACAATATTCTTCAAATCCAGATTATTTTTAATTTATTTTATGTCCATAAATAGCTTATAAATCAGTCAAAAACATACCAAAATGCAACACATTTAT